GGTAGTGGGGTGTTATGGGTATGTGGCAGAGGGTTTTTAAGGGAGATTGGTAGAATGGTTATGACAATGGGGTGTTGCGGTTGGATGGTTATGGTAGTGGGGTGTGGTCGTGGAGCGATGGATTGGCATGAAGGGATAACAAGAGTTGCTCTCTGTAACACTCGCTGACCTAGGAGCTAGATAGGCCGAGAGTATTATCGGTATTGACTTGCATTTTAGGTGCAATGAATGTAAGTAACAAGCCTCCTTCCTTAACATTTCTAAAATAGTAGCAAAAATTATGGTTTTCTTATGATGTCCCTAATAATTAAGAAATAATAGGTTTGAATTAATTAAGACTTAGGTATAAAAATTTTCAAAAATTCTTCTAACACCAATTAATATTCTAACTACATGTGTAGAAATATTAAATGTCAAAATTGGGTCAAAGAATCATGTTTTTGGATTTCAATTTAATTATTTAAATAAAATACCTTATATATAATGAATAGTACCATGTGTGTTAATTTTCCCAAATTCCTTCTAAAAATTCATATTTAATTTAAAATAGAAATATTAAATTTTCAAATATTTTATAAAATACAGTAGGATTATTCTACATTATTTTCATTCCAAAAAAAAAATTAATTATAATATATTCAATTTAATTAGAAAATAATATATATATATATTGAACCATTAATATTGATTTAATGCCATTATTTTTATAAAAATTTCATAGGATAGAAATCTATTTAATTAATTCAATTAAGCACTTAATAAATTCATATAGACCATTAATTAGAGTTTTAACCATTCAAAACATTTTTTTGGACTTATGAAACTTTGGTTCCAAATTTATTTAAACTAGCATATTAAACTAGTCCTTTAAAAGCATTTATTCATTAACCGTTAAATTTCTTTTAATGCCTTAACCCTTGTAACCAATTTTTCCTTGCCGTTTTAATTCAATACTTCTTACAATTAAAAATTTAGCTTCTAAACCAATCAACCATTCAATTAATACCTCCATTGAACCTCTAATTATTTTCATTACTTATTACATTAAGTTCTTAAGTCCAATTCAATTAATTAAGTAGCTAATTAATTCCTTAAGCTACTAAACTAAACAACTAAGGACGTAAACATACTATCTAATTCTCGGACACAAAATTCATCATTTACATACCATAAATTGCTTAACCTTATATCTATTTCCAAATCTAAAAATAAGTTAAGTAAAGGTAAAAGTTTTCTCACTTATTTTACATAACTAAGCATACAATACGGCAAGTCGATCCTCCTTCTCCACAATGGTCATTTTCTAACCTTTTATCACCTACACCACAAGAAACTAGATGATTGTTGCTTAGTAAGTGTAATCCATGTAGTGCTCATTATGCATATAATGCACACGATGCATCTAAAAAATCATTTTTATGTCTTTTGAAATTCATTTTTTTCTTTAGGTACACCATGTCGATTATATATATAATCGACCCTCTTTTAAAACTTACAATTTGTGAAAAACTCACAAAAAGCACTAGACACCTTTCCTTTTCTTCATTCTTTCCTTTGTGAAAGAATCCTTTTCCTTTTCTTTTTCTTTTTTTTTTCTCACGAGAGGTTGATCACTCCTCTCGTATAATAACGCCATTTCCTTTTCAATTTCCACTTGAAGGTGCCTAACCATTTTCTTTTAAAAACATGTCCTTTTCCTTAAAACCATGAAGTAAAATACATTTCACGATCGTGATATGCAAATGCATTTGAATGATAAGCATTCATTTGCCTTTCCTTTACTTTTTTCTCTTTAAGCATGTTTAACATATTAAAGTACATGTAAATAACATTTTGAATATAACATGTACTAATTAAAATAAAGCATGCACATTTAACATCCGAGAGAACATGTAACATAAACAAACAATCATTTATATATTCTAAATTAACAAAGTAGACATAAAAACAATAAAGCATCCATAAACATTAACAAGCTGTTTAAAAGCTCATTATGGTCGAATTATTGAATTAATTCGACCAAATTATTTTCAACATTTAATTAACCATTTTTCATGCCATTTCAACCTTTTGAACCTTAAAACCATCATCCAATTTCAAGTTACCCTTTTCCTCTTCTTTCTTCATTTAAGTCGAATGTTACCTAATGGAAGATTGACTTCTATTTGATCATTTTTCCTCAAATTTTCATATCCAACTCATTAATCAAACCTTTTTTCATCATTTATACATCAATTGGGTTAATTAAAATAATCAACCTAAACTTCCATTCTAGGCTAAAATACTTATATTGGTGACCAATCTTCAATTTTTCAACTTAACACAACAAAACACATCTAATTCATTTCTCCAAACACCTTACATGCATTAACCTTTTAAACCATGATTTTCCCTAACAATTAATAGGTTTAGGACCAAATTTTAAGAAAACCTTAACATTACCAAAATCTCACCCAAATCAACCAATCAAACTCAAAACATACTAATTCATCAACAAAGTCACCAATTCGCCATCCAAACAATCAATTCACACTTCATCATAACAACACCACAACTCCAACAATAAAGCCATAAAATCATACTTATTTAAACAACGATTGAACGTCATAACATATGTTTTTTCATGGTGTAGTGAGGATTACACCTACCTCACTTAAAGTTTGATCAATCCTCCTGCTTTTCTCCTTAGATTCCTTCCTCCTCTTTCCATCTCTAAGTTTCGACCCAAAGTAAGGTTTTTCCTCCTTCTTTACTTGATCTTCTAAACTGGTTTTAGGGTGATTTTAGGGTGTTCCAAGGTTGTCTAAGGTGATTTGGTTATTTTTCTCCTAGTTTCACTTATTCTCTCTTTAGTGTAACCTTGAACATCTAAAGTTTTTAACCTCTCTTCCATCTTTTTTCATGTTTATAGCCAATGTTTTTTCTTAAAGTTAAGACATGTGATACACTTGGTTTGATTTTAAATGATGAAAATTAATGGCTTCTCTAGATTTTTCTTCATTTTTTCTCTTTTCTTCCTTAGATTTTTAGGTTGATTTTTCTCCTCCTTTGTTCTCCTTGTTTGCTGACTTAGGGAGATATTTTTCTCCCTCAATTTCCATCTTAGAAGTTGCTGAAAGTCCCTTCTCAAAATCATTTAACTAGTCTCCCAAATCACTTGCATTTTAGACTTTAGTCCCTAAACTTTTAATTCATACAATCGGCCCCTCTAATTTCAATCCATAACTTCATAATTTTCCATAATCTAACCCTTATTCTAGACCTTTCCTAGAGTAATTAGGGTCCTCAAAGTTTCTTAATTATTTTATTTAAGGACTCAAACTTTTAATTGTTTCAATTACACCTCTACGATTTTGCAATTTCACCCCTAGGCTAATACATAGCCATATCAAATAACATTGTAATCCTCTAACTCACATTTTAATTGATTCATTCACCTTCTATTTAATTCATTTACCCTCCATAATAATTATATTTGCATTAATTTATTCTTTATTTAAGCATAATTTATCAATCTTATAAATATTCATTTGTTAATTGAATAAATTATTCTTACAACACAATTACTTTTAAGGATGTTTTTATGTCGATGATATTATAGTTGTAGTGAATAAGGAGGCTCGACTGCTAGAGGCTAGTGGCAAGGAGTGGCGACTACAAGGTTTTAGGGTGAAAGGAAAAAATGTTGGCTGTATGTGGGTTTTTTTAAGGGATTTTTAAGAATTTAATTAATTGGGTTTGTGTTTGATTGACATGTAATTTATTTTGGGGAGAAAACTTATCATATAAGTCACGTGGGATCCTACGTGTCATTTATGTCTTGTTGACTCCTACCTCTTATGTCATGTTTGCTTAAAATAGAATTTTGAATGAAAAAATTTACGCATGTTAATATGGTTGTTGAAAGCTTAGTTCATGCATTTTTTGTTTATTTTTGAAAGAACATTCCAAATAATTAAAACATGTTAAATTGGTGATTTTATAATATATTAAACCTTATTATTATTATTATTATTGAATGATCACAGTATGAGCCCTAGCAATCCAATTCCGATCTAGAAATTTCCTACAAAAACTCGACCAGCAGTTTGGTATTTGTTTGCTTGCATAAGTGCTTATTGTATACCGTTTCATGTATGAGAATGGGATTTGCAGAGAGGCTGGCACTAAACATGAATAATGGCCTCGACTCTTAGCAGTCTTGCATGTGGGAGCGTGAGTTGTCCATTATAGGACCTGCTCTACTTCAATACAGTGTGGCTTGACTTATACAAACGCCTTACCTCCTGATCCATAATTCAAGCTTTGTTTTTCACGAATAACTTATCACAAAAATGAATTTTAAAATTATGTCTGGTAAAAAGCCTCTTTTTTTTTTAATCTTTCCAGAAGAGAAGTAGTTTGAGTCAGAATTAATAAATTAAATTACAATTTTTCATTTAAGCAAAATTTTAACTACAAATTGTAACTAATTTTTATTCAAGTAAAAATTATTTCTAACATATTTCATTTACAAAATCATATCAAACAGAATCTGAAACTTATCGGTAACTTGTTTTATCGGTACATTAGACAGGCCAAGTTTTGTGAAGAAGATGACAACGTTGGAACTTGGATGGATACTAAAATCTTCTCCGACAATGTCCCAAGCAAACTGATCTTTATTTATTTTTCGTCGCAAAAAGATAGATAAATGAAATAATCCGTGCCTTCTTGTAATAACAACTCACTGTCAGTCAGGAAATTCTGATCTAGAGATAATAACCAACTGAAGGGTGAATAGAATTTAGTGTCACTGCCACTGTATAAATTGCTTGCAACATTTGTTTCCCTGAAAAAAATATACTACGCCTTTTACTGCGATTATAGGAGACAGAGAAACATGAAGAAAACTGAACAAAAGACGGGTGTAGAATATGCTTCTGAATATACACTGGACTATACAAGTGTTGACATCTGATCAGATGCTTCGTAATTACATTGTCAAAAAGAAAAATGCTTCATGATTCAGGAGGAGCAGGTTCGCCACAGAATGCATCTGGCTCAAAAGATCTGGCTGAATCATCATTGTAAACTCCAGGAATAGCTCTACCCCCAGCTTCATCAGATGGTACGTAAGAACCCTTTTGGCCTCCCTCAATATTGATGAAGAGAACAACGCATACAAATAGTGATGCTGCAAGAGTGACGAGGGTGTACTTCAATCTGCTTAGCACAGGCTTGACCTGTTGGATGAATAGGGCGCGTGCACACACAGCAGGAAAAAAAAAAAAAACAAGAAGAAGAAGAAGCATTTTGGTTAGCAATGCATAAATTCCCCAGGTTTTATAGAAATACGGTCCATCATCTATGTCCAGACAAATCGAACATTATATCTATGAAGAGAGCTTAAGTGTCACAATTTAGGACTTCAAGGATAGCAGAACAGTTAATCACAAGCCTCACACTTGGTGCCAGCAGCTCTCCAACACAGTGGACTGCCTTTTAACTATATAGATATGACAAAAGACGCACCATGGCGTAACTGCTAACCTGCTTTCACCACGAATCAGCATATCTAATCCTAGCTTAACATGTAATCTTAATTGATGATCTTAAAAGATGTTACACTTGGTTTTAGACAGAGGTTATTAAACCATCTAAAAAACTTTATGCTTCTCAATACACAGCAGAGGTGAATAGTTTATAGCAGCAGTAAAACCATTTTAAAAACATTGCGCTTCTAAATACATAACAGGCATGGCTCTCCACTGTCAGAAACAATGAAAAATATAGTCTCTCTTTCAAATGATTTACTTACTGAAAATGAACCGAGAAGTCGATCTCTAGCCAAAACTTCAGCCGATTTCACCCATATCTGTTGAGGAAATTGAAGTTAGGCTTCAAATTTACAAGTTTATCTCTACTAACAATGCTGCAAATGTATATTGCAACTAAATCAGAACTTGAAAAGGACATTTCACTTCTTACAGTTTGCATCTAGTTAAAATTGCAACATACTTTTCTTTTCTTTTTCTGTCCCCCAAAATCTTACAGTTTGCTTTCTGAGATATTCCCTCTCTTACCATATAAGCCTGTAGATTAACCATTAGTTAAACATTGGAATATAGCAACTCTCTTTTCATTTCTATTCCTTTCAACTCCCTCCTTCATTTCTATTCTTCAAAAAAGGCAAGCGACCACAAATGCAGGAAATTCAAATATTACAAGCCAAACAAAAGCCTTAGATAGAATAATTAGGCACTAAAATTCTAGATGAAACTTCACAGCTAGAATCTAGCACCTGAAATTGTGCAAATAGCATAACCAGAACTACAGAACATGAGATCTCATCCAACAAATACAATTTGCACCAAGCGAAGAGCTAGAAGAAGGAGCAGATGAGATCAATTCGCCACAAAACCACTACTACAACCCCAAAAGAAAGAATCAATACAGGACATGCCATTATTCTTTTGGGCAACGACCAAATCCTTTCCCTCTCTCACTCTCACTCATATTTTTTCTACATTTTTTTTTCAATTTCCCTTTTACATCTTCTCTATCCTTTTCTTGTTCTTAGCCTTTCTTAACCCAGACCTCACCACAGGAGACCTTATGGCCTTGCAGTATAAACACTGCCATGGGCTCAACCCAGCATCACACAATTCCACACATAATCACAATCTTCAACCTTCATTGCCCCATCCTTTACCATAGCAGACAACTCCTCATCACTATGACTTTTATGGTAAGCTAACTTTGTGATGTTCTGATCTAACCACAGAAGCTTAATCTCTCAAGAAAGGTTTTGGTGAATAAGGTGTGTTGCAGTAGTTGTTTCTATCGAATGTGTATCTATTCTTACATTTCTGAAGTTGCACAAGATGGCTCAAATCCTACATAACTGTTTCTTGAGCACTTATGAGAAAAATATTTCTGTAGACCACTCAATAATCATGATTCAATGAAGAATGTTTCAATGGAAAAAACTGTATGACTCTGCTAATAGCTAATTGGTTAGCATGTAATCCCTTTTTCCTTGTCTCAATAAATTTCTCAAATTCCCTCCATACTGATACTATGCCATAAAGTCTTTCTGAAAATGATCTATAACCGAAAAATCATGTACCTGACCATCATACCACCCTGTCTCTTCATCTGCAAAAATAGAGATAAAAAACCACCCCATCAATCAAATATACCATAAACAACACTACACTAGGCTAATATAGCAAACTTAACTAATTTGACACTAACCCTTTGCTTTCAAGGGAGAAAAACAAAACCTTTAGACCCAAAATTCACAATTCTGACCATCCCTTAACTTTTAAGGGTTCTAAGCAACCAAGCAAAACAAGAGAAGACAGAGAAAGAGAGGAATTACATTCAACAGTGGCACTGAGCAATCGATTCCCAACATAAGCCCAACCCAGGTACATTCTCACAACAGCAAGACTGGCAACAAAAATCCCACTTGATAAAGCTGCAAGTACTGGCTTCAATGGCTCATTTTTTGGTCCCACAGTGCCAAACCAAGCAACAGGTAGGGCAATAAGGAGAGCAAAGGAAGCACCAGTAACGAATAAACGAGAGCAATACTCAACAATGTCACCTGAAGCCCAAGAAAAAGGGAAGGAAGTTGAGAGGTTTTGGAACTCATTTATGGGTTGCTGATCAAGTGGTACAGGGCACTCTGTTTCTGGAGGAGTACTGCTGCTTCCATTTCTAAAGGAAGATGAGGGTATGTTTGGAAGTGCGTTTTTGTTGTTGTTGTTGTTGTGGTGGTGCTGGTGGGGGCACTGGTGGAGGAGGAATCTTTTCTGTGTCGGAGAGGAGTAGAGGAATGGTGACGATAGGTGGAGGAGTGGAATTGCCATGGGGGATTTCTGCTGTTTTGCTCACTCGATCAGCCGTCCAAAATTAAGTAATTAACTGGCGAAAGATTTTTATTTTATCTTCTTCTTTATTTTGCCTTTTTTTTTTTTAACCAAATAATTGTAATTTGTTTATTTTTATTTGTTTACCCTTGAGAGCAATTATAATTTAGTCCTCGAATGTTTGATGATTTTGTAATGTTAGTCACCCTGTTTTTGAAAAGCATATGTTAGTCCATTGATCAAAATTGATTGTTATTTATTTTTTTATGTTTTTGAAATTATCTTTTTTTAAGGTGCAATTTTGATTTGGCTATGGTAGATAAGATTGAAAATTTTAATTAAAAATGAGGCACATTTTTGGAAAATTTTAATTTAATGAAAAACCAATACAAGGATCAAGTTACAATAAATATGAAAAGTAGGGACTTAATATTAATTTTTTTAAACTCAAAAATTAACTAATTATTTCATTAAAACACATAGATAGATCAAATAATAATTTATTCTTTATGTCATTGACGACAACAATTTATCTTGAACTATAGATATTTTTGTTTATTTCCTTTCTCTAATTAATGCTATTGATTTTTGTTTTTTAATAACCGTGTTAGAGATAAAATTAATATTTCCCTCGTGCATTGCTGCTGGATTTAATTTATAATTATATATATATTTATTTATTATGTTGTTTTTTTGCATATGCTAATATCCTGTGTTGTTTTTATCATATGTGTTAAGACTTTGTTTTATCATTTAATTTAATACTTCACATGGATGGAAAAATAATTTAAAGAAAATATGTCCTTTTAGTTTTAAACTATTTTTTTATAAATCAATATACCAAATTATCATTTATTGATGTTGTGAACATGTATTTTTATATATATATTTGTTTAATATAATATAATTTATTATTATTATTATTATTATGTATTTTAATTCGATTTGTTTGTTTGATATTTAGTAATATTGTTTAAGTTTTTAAAGTGATTATTCAATTTGATTGAATTCTTATTATTGTTCAATTATTTTTCAATTATCCTTTTTTATATATGAGAGAAATCATAAGAAGAAGTAAATCAGATGTAATTTTTTTTTCTTTTCAAAATCTATCTTTTTATTATTATATAGTATAGATTTGAGCAAATAATTTTTGTTCGTACAACATTACCTTTTTTATATTCTTATTCTTTCATTCAATTTTAATTTTTAAATATCAATTAAGATTTCTATTATATTATTATATATAAATATAATATTTTAAATGGATTTCAAACTAAAAGTTTTTTCAATTTGCTTTACAAAGGGTATTGAAGGACCGTCTCACTTAAAAACTTAAGCTAATAGTCGAGGCCCAGAATATAATTTATATTAGTCTCTAACACACTCGCTCAAGTAAAAGCCTCGAATTTGGGCTTGAAACTTGCACGGTTTCACATTGCCTTGTGCTTAATATTTGAGAAATTGAGGATGGTGAGACTTGAATTCGAACCTCTTGGTCAAATTTTTATCATATTGACGAAAATAATTACATCGGTATTTAAAGGAGAATACAAACCCTAATGACCCATATAAAATAGGAAACTAACTAATAAAATAGGAAGCTAACTAATAAGGGAAAAACTCCTAAAATTAAGATCCTAAAAATATACAATATGTTGTAATCAACAAATAAATATACAATCTGCTGTAATAAACACTCCCCCTCGAGCTGGTGAGTGGATGTCTTCCATTCCCGACTTGCTAGTGATTTCTTGAAACCTTGAAGCGACCAATCCCTTGGTTAGAATATCTACCAATTGATTTCCCGATGCCACGTGAGGAATGCTAATGAGTCCACTATCAATCTTCTCTTTGATGAAGTGCCTATCCACCTCCACATGTTTTAATCAATCATGTTAAACTCGGGTTATGACCGATACTCGATGGCTAATTTGTTGTCACAATATAACTTCGTTAATCCACTTCCTTTAACCATCAAATCTTTTAGGATTATTCTAATCGAAAGAAGTTCACAAACACCAAGAGCTATAGCATGAAATTCTACCTCGCACTTGATCTAGCCACAACATTCGTTTCTTGCTCCTCCAAGTAACCAAGTTTCCTCCTATGAAAGTGCGGTAGCTTCGTGATTGACGTTCTATCTATAAGGGACCCTGTATAGTTAGTATCGGTGTAGGCTTCCATTGTTAGATTGCTTCCCCTTTTGAACAAAATGCCCTTTCTTGGAGTCACCATTAAGTACTGGAGAATCCTCCGAACCGCTTGTAAATGCTCTTTTTAGGATCATGCATGAATTGACTAACTACATTTACGGTATAAGCAATGTCGAGTCCGGTATGTGAGAGATAAATCGGTCTCCCTACTAGCCTCCGATAGCGTCTTTTATCAATAGCTGCTCCATCTTTGCTTTCTTGGCCCATTCGGTGATTTGGACCAATAGGAGTGCTCAAAGGTTTACACCCAAGATTACCGGTTTCTTTGAGTAGATTAAGAAATTACTTTTATTGGCTTATAAATATCCTTTGTTTGGAGTAAGCCACTTCGATCCCAAGGAAGTACTTTAGCCTACCAAGCTCTTTAATTTCAAATTCTCGAGCCAATTGTGTTCTCGGTTTCATCTTTTCTTCTTCATCACTTTCACTAACTATGATATCATCCACATACACCAATAAGATCGTAATCTTTCCCTTACCCGAGTGTTTTACAAACAAAATGTGATCATCATGACTCTACTCGTAACCAAACTTCACCATGGCCTTGGTAAACCTCCCAAACTAAGCTCTTGGTGATTGTTTTAGCCCATACAAGGCTTTCTTCGGTTTGTAAACTTTATTGAGACCAAACTTGTCATCAAAACCAGGTAGTGGTTCCATATACAATTCTTCGTTTAAGTTCTCATGAAGAAATACATTTTTTATATCATACTGTTGAATATCCCATTCAAAATGAATAGCTAGAGATAAAAAAATTCTTACTTGTGTTCATCTTTGCTACTGGTGCAAAGGTCTCTTAGTAGTCCACTCCACGAGTACGTGTACGACCTTTGTTATAACTAATCTTGCCTTGTACCTTTCAATTATTCCATCGGCCTTGAATTTCACGATATAGACCCATTTATAGCCAATCTGCTCTTTTCTCCTTGGGACGTGTAATAATATCCCAAGTCTCATTTGTCTCCAAGGCCCTCATCTTTTCCTCCATCGCATGTGTCCAATCCCTATCATTTAAAGCATCATATACTTGTTTTGGGTATTTTGATTGAGTTTAAAGTGGAGAGAAAACTTTTATGTTGGGAGGATAGTCTATGTGAAAAGATAAAGTTTGTTATGGGATATTGAGTACACTTTCGTGTTCCTTTTCTCAAGGTAATGGGAAGGTCAAGATCACTATAGGGATGATCTCATAAGAGACAATATTGTTAGTTTTAAAAATTGGCAAGTTCAAAGTGTTTTTATTACCTATGCTTGGTGTTGACTTTTGGACCTGCTTTGATACTTGTAAGGGTTGTACTCTTCTTGAATACTCGTTACAATGGCTTCGATAAAAAGGCTGGATTATGTTTTTTAGATGTGGGATTAGCAATTTTGACATTGATAAATTCGATAATTTTTATAAATTTAGCAATCGTAATAATTTCTATATATGTAGATTCGGTATTCGATTAATGTTTTCTAGTATAACATCTAGGGAGTTTGGTGAGAGAGATGATGATGGATTCTTAATAAGGTTTATACCTATGTCTAGAAAGGATATGGAACCCGAGCACATATCTTCTTCTCTAGAATGCTCCCCTAAAGATGAGTGGGAGGGAATTTATAGAAAGGCTCGGACTCATGGAATGTGACATCAAGAGATACAATGGTTTACCAACTAGAAAGGTCATAACACTTGTAACCTTTTCGTGTGGCGGAATAGCCAATAAAAATGCACCTTTTTTGCTCGAGCTTCTAATTTAGATCCGTGATGTTTATGGATATGTAAGAAAGTAACACACTCGAACACTTTTGGGGGAAGACTCCGATTAGAAATAACATTTGGGAAGTGTTTGGACAATAGGTTGACAAGACTGTGATTTTCTAGGATTCTAGAAGGCATACGATTTATGAGATAAGTTGCGGTTAGAACTGCTTCCCCTATAAAAATTGAGGAGCATTAGATTGAAATAGAAGAGCACGAGTGACTTCTAGGAGGTGATGATTTTTCCTTTTGACAACCCCATTCCGTTGGGGTGTTTCGACACATGAGGATTCATGAATAATACCCTTGTTTTTAAAGAAGGAAGAAAGACATTGATTGAGATAGTCTACGGTATTATATGATCGAAACCTTTTTATTTTATGCTAAATTGAGTGAAAATCATATTTTGAAATTAGGGAAGTAATGAGCTAACTTTAGATTTATCCTTTAGTAAAAACAACCGGGTAGTACGAGTGCAATCATCGATAAAAGTTATGAACCATCTTGCTCGATGAATATCATGAATTTTTGAAAGCCCTTAAATATCATAATGTATCAAAGAAAAAAGTTTGCTACATTTTATTGATTTTATTGGAAATGAAGCATGACAATGTTTTATAAATTGACAAACTTCACCCTGAAAATTTGAAACAACTACATCTATAAACAAAGAAAGAAACATCTCGTTTTAGAAAAAGGAAAAGGTGGATGACCTAGTCGAAGGTGGTGTGCCCGGATTGTATTATTGGTTGATGCGGTTAAAAGGACTTGAGATGAAGTGGATTGATTTCCCTTTATTTGATCGCCTCTTAGGTCCTCAAAGTAGTACAACCCATCACATTCTTTAGCAAATCCAATTGTCTTCCCCGAGGTTCGATCCTGCAAAACACAATGAGAATAAAAAAAAGGTTATTTTGCAATAGAGTTCTTTAGTGATTTTATGAATAGAGATAAGATTGGTGGAAATTTTTGGGATATGAAGGACATGTTTAAGGGGTACTAAAATGTTAAGATGTAGGCTACCTTGTCCGAGTAATTTC